CCTAATTTTATACCTCCAATTAGGCATCCTGCTGATCTCTAGAACCCCTTCCAGTGCTGGAATTTTATGACTCTGCCTATTGTAATTACTAATGTCATTCATACTTGCTAACATCATTCACAAGAATTCAGTGACATAGACAGATCATGCATTGGTCTGTTCTCTGGTTTGTTTTAATCTGGAAGCCTGCATTTCTTGAAATGTATATCATCTGTATATTATCTTTGTTCTGTAGATATTCATGAAGAATACTTATCCAAGCTCTTATTCAATAAAATATTAAAATAATTCCCATATGAGTAATTGGGCTATGTTCAGCTATGTTCAAAGTCCATGAGTATAATTTTTAAATGCTCGAATGAATTATTTTAGACAAATTTTCTTCCTATATTGATAACACATTTATCGTGCCCGGGAGTAGCTAATATGAATAAGCTTATGCAGAAATGCACTTCATAATTTAATTTGCTCTCATCTGAACATGCTTTCAGAGAAGCTTCTGTATATCCCACTATCAGACTGCACTAGGAAATTCATTGTGTGGTCCTGGTCATAAAAAATACATCTCATCTTGATATCGCTTTCCTTTGTATATGAGATGAATCCATAATACATATTTTATCACATGCTGAAGTTCTATGGAAAATCTCTAATTTTAGTTGTGTATAAAATTTCATACTTTCTGTGAAGTCGTACTGTATTATTTAGGAATCACTTAAATAGCAAACACAATTACAGCAGATTATGAGAGAATAATACTTTGTGATAAGTAAATAGCATTGCTAATTACTTACCCAAAATGCTCAGTGCAATCACTATGAGCAAGAGGAGGATGATCATTGCACACCCAACTTTCAGGACAATTCCATGATGGTGAGAATCTATAAAATTAGATATATTTCACCAGTATGACCAGCAGATAATTTCTTAGATGGTAAGATGTAGGAGAAGGCTGAATAAACTTTCTCACTGTCATGTGCCTGAGTTACTTCCCTTTAAATATGTAGGCCCAGCTTCCTTTTACACATATACACACACAAAAAAACACACATGTGTGTTCTCTGGTTTGTGAAAAGGGGTATCTATAAAACTGTGAATGGATACAAATTTTCTCTGGTGATTCCTAGTATATACTCATATTCCCTAGTACTGACGTTACTTATACTCAACTCTCTACATCTCTAGGATTTTATATATGACTGCGAATCCCTCAAGATTCTCTAATAAGCTTATTAACAACACCCACTTATTTAAGTTGATCTTTGCTTTTCTGCCTCTTCCTTTACATAATGCATCTATTTCCTGTGATACATAATTGTAATTTTATAAAATCATATATTGTAAAATAAAAGTAATTTTAAGGATTATCTTGTTCAATACCCACATGTTAAAATGAGGATATTCAAGTCCACAATCACACAGTTACCTGACAGCAGAGCTGACCTCCAACCTCAGGTCTCTTAATTACCAGACTAGTTCACTATCCACACTATTTCACTGCACTTGGAGTATTCAAAAGGTAATAAATAAACCAAATAAAAAAGCTGATATTTTTAGCTTTAGGCTGACAGCTAAAACCAACAGTCTCAAATACGAAACAAGTTCAGTACACCAATTTCAGTAGATACGTGCTGTATATGCACACATATACAATAGACTGAGAAAGTACTAAAAACGGCTGATGTTAAATATAACCAATTACAAAATCATATGTCGAGATTGATTGACCTGAATGTTTATTTGGTGGATTATTACTATAGAATGCTTTGTTTTAGGTTCAAATTATTATTGTTAATTAAAACATCTTCAGTGGAAATTTGTTAATCCTAAAGACATAGAAGTCCATATATTTTCATTTTTCAGGCATAAACAATCCAAATTGTGGGTATCGAGGCAATCACGAGAAGAACGTGGTGATATTGCTACAGGTTTTTAATATGAAGAACTGAGATAACAGA